TCGGATGAAGCGGCGGAAATAGGAGCACAAACCAAGGAAGCTCCGGACATCCTTATGAGAAGAGGGCACGGGAAATTGAGTCAATGCGCGAATTTTGTCCGGATCGGGCTGTACACCAGATGCGTTAACGAGGTGACCAAGTACAGTTATTTCGCGACGGCCGAAACGGCATTTGGAGGAGTTCAGCTGGAGACCAGCGTTGCGAAATACTTGGAGAATACTGGACAGTCGCTCTAGATGGCTTGCGAACGTCGGTGAAAAAACAATTATATCATCTAAGTAGCATAAGCAAGTGGACCATTTGAAGCCGCGCAGAAGGGAGTCCATCATGCGCTCAAAGGTGGCCGGCGCATTACAAAGGCCAAACGGCATTACTTTAAATTGGTATAACCCATCGGGGGTTACAAATGCTGTTTTTTCTCGGTCCAGTGGGTCAACAGCGATCTGCCAATAACCAGATCGAAGGTCAATGGACGAGAAAAACTTTGCGCCATGAAGGCAGTCAAGGGCGTCATCTATTCTTGGTAAAGGGTAAACGTCCTTCTTAGTGACCTTGTTGAGATGTCTATAGTCGACGCAAAACCGCCATGTGTTGTCCTTCTTCTTGACAAGCACGACCGGGGATGCCCACGGACTAGATGAGTGTTCGACGACGCCTTTGGCGAGCATTTTCTCGACCTCCTTCTGGATGACAGAGCGTTCGGCAGCGGAGACGCGGTAAGGGCGGCGATGAATTGGGTTGGCATCGCCGGTGTTGATGTGATGGGTCACAACTGATGTTTGGCCTAAAGGGCGGTTGTCAAGATCGAATATGTCCGCACAGGATGTCAACAGACGGTGGAGGTCTTGTGCTTCGGAGGGCGAAAGATCTGGTGCTATCATTTTGGCAATGTCAATGCTTGACAGGTTGGGCGCAGTGAGCAAGTTGACGTGCGGAGTAGGTTGCTGAGCCGACAGTTCAGAAATATCACACTCTTGCAACGACGACATGACGCCTAGTTTAATACCAGCAGGCAGCACATGCGTGGAGAAACCAAAGTTCAAAAGAGACAGATGGGTCTGATTGTGGCATACTCTCACCACGGTGTGCGGAACAGCAATGGAGTGCTTTAGCACAACGTCGGTAATAGGTGAAACGACATATTCACCATCGCGCACAGGCGGATCACACACGAGCTGCACGTAAGTCGCGGCTTGCGGCGGAAGATGCAGGAACTCGGTGGCACAAAGGCGACTTTGAGCGTCATGGGCAACAGCGGCGTCAAAAGGCAGTTCCAACTGAAGAAGACCCGTCGAGCAGTCGATAAGGCGGAGTGAGCAGAGAGAAAGTCGAGGCCAAGAATCACGTCATGTGGGCACTGCTCAAGCACGGTGAACAATACGACGGTCTGGCGCCCAGCAATACACACGCGAGAGGTACACATGCCGAGAACGGCAGATGTGCTCCCATCGGCAAGCATTACTGCACACTTAATAGGAGGCGTGATCACTTTTCGCAGTTAATACAGAGAGCAGCGCTCATGACTGAAATGTGTGCACCAGTGTCTATGAGGGCTGTAACGGTAACGTCATCCACCAAAAGGTCCAAAATATTGCGGCGTGTAGGAATCGTCAACAGAGGATTTGCAGAATGGGTCGTTAATGCAGCGTCACCTCCGGGAGCTGCATGGTCTAGTTTCCCGAGGTTGAGGGCCCAGGTCGTGCAGGGGACCTGGATCGAGAAATCATCGGCGAGAGAGATCGGCGGCCTTGGGGTGATGGTGACCGGCTGAACCTTCGGCCCTGAACGTTAGTAGGAGCAGGCTGTGGATCGTGCGGAGTAGAAAAGCGGCGAGAACTGCCTTCAAAGCGACGCCATGCCCCAGTGTTCCAAGATGAATTGGATGACCAACGATTGCGACAGTAGCGTGCAATGTGGCCGGCGCGAGAGCAGTGAAAGCAGATCGGTCTATCATCCGACGTTCTCCATTCAGCAGGGTTCCGGTAGCGGGAAGGGTAGCGTGAAGGGTACACCGGAATCTGGTTTACAGAAGCCGAGCTCTCGGTGGGGCGAACGGCGCAAACAGGTGTGATGCCGAGATTTGCTATTTCTTGGCGAACGACGGCTTGGATGAGGGAGACGGTGGATTCGTTGTCTTTAGGACCGTCAGAGGCGATGGCTGCAGGAGCCATTGCTTCGAGTTCACGACGAACGATTCGGGTGACATTTTCGGACGATGTAGCTTGCGTGTACTTGGGGCTGTCTTCACAGGTCGAAGTGGCTGCAGTATTAGGCAGACGCGCAAACTGGCGGGTTATGCGACGGTTCTTGGCGTGCTCGAAGCGCTGACACTCCTTCACAACCACGTCGACGGTGGCGCAATCTTTAACGATCAACAAATTGAAGGCGTCATCGGCAATTCCCTTCAATATGTGAGCGATTTTGTCAGTTTCGCTCATGTTCTCGTCCACCTTTTCGACAGAGGCCCAATACGTCCTGTATGTAGGATACATACGATTCCGTCGATGTCTGCACGCGACATTCCAGGTCTTTCCTCGCGGCCTGCTGTCGCCCAAATGGCCTGCTGAATAACTCGAGAAGCTTCAATTTGCAAACGTCCCAGCTGGTCAACTCCGACTCATGCGTCTCATACCAGGTGAGCGCCGTATCCCGCAAGTAAAATACAACGTTGGCCAGCATCAACGTAGGGTCCCACCTATAGTATTCGCTCACGCGCTCGTACAAAGCGACCCAATCTTCAACATTCACCTTGTCCTTGCCTGTGCCCGAGAAGGTTCCGGGGTCTCGTGGAGGCAGGAGAATCAGAGGAGGCAGCTGGTGCTGCTGGTGCTGGTGCTGGTGCTGGTGCTGCTGGTGCTGGTGCTGTTGGTGCTGCTGCTGCTGCTGCTGCAGCTGCGGCTCCTGTTGCTCTTGTGGGTGGGCCTGTTGAGTCATTGCAGGAAAATGAAGGTGGCGACCACTCCGAAGTTCCGTGTTGGTTTGCCGGAAAAGCTAGAGGTAGGCGTACCCCGCACCTCCACCAATAATCTTACAAGAAAACGTATATTTACAGATATTTGCAACGATTACACGTGATGACAATGCCTGGCGCACTGGCGGGCTGGAACCAGTCTCTATCCACTTCGTAGTCTTTTCTTTCAGTCTGGGACCCTCTACTGCTTTATGCCCCAATCCCACTACTGCCTTGTGGCAATATAAAAAGAGAACTTGCCTTCGTCGACGCCACTTCCACTTTATTGTTACTTTATCAATAGTGGCCGCCTTCTTCGGGGAACAAACCATCGAGATGGTGAGCGTAGCAACAGTTAAGTTAGCTTAGAGTGCTCCCAGCTAGCTGATCGTGACGAGGAAATGAATTTGATGTTTGATTATTTTGGTGAATTTGCGTTTGTTTGCATGTCTGCAAAATTTTTGCTACCGTGCATTTTTTTATCAATTCGAAATACATTGTGCAACAAAGATACAGAATCTTTTGCTAGAGCGTGTAAGCCCTTCTAATTATATTCCAACAGTAACTTGAAAACAGTAATTGAATAGTTATGAAGTAGTGAGCACGTTTCTCCGCCGTGTTGGTGTAGCGGTTACGGAGGTCGGCTGCTGACCCGAAGGTCGTATGTTCGATACCGGCAGCGGCAGTTGCATTTCGATGGAGGCAGAATTGTAGAGGCCTGTGTAATGTGCGATGTATTTCACCAGCCGAATTCGCCTATCTGAGGCTCGATGTTGATTGGAACACAATTTAGTCCAAGCTCGTCTGGATATACCCTAATTGTAATTAGTTTCATTATACCTGCTTGCCCAATAGAGGCATCGTCTTGATTAGGTTGCACTATTAGTGAACGAAAGCTTCATTCGTTTCTAAGCTCTTTCGCAAGTGGGAGGGAGGGCAATCCTATCCTACTCGTTGGCCGTGAGACCCCCCCCCCCCCCCACACACACAAATAAATAAATAAATAAATAAATAAATAAATAAATAAATAAATAAATATATTTCAACAGAACTTGCCTTCATCGACGTCACTTCCACTTTATAGTTACTTTTGATACACAGATAATTTGTTCAACAGTGTAAAAAAAGACACTCATTTTGAGGCAGCATGCGCGGAAACCACACATATGTGCGTAATATGCATGTAGAATTACACGCGACGTTTTTATACATCATCTCACAACTTTCTGCATTATACAAATATGTCGATGGTGGCCTCCTCAACATTATATATTCCATCATACAATGAAATTTCATAGTGAATTTTCAAAATGCAGAGCACTTTTCAGGGAACCAAAAGTGCTTTGAGCATCTTTATCTACTTTTTGTCTATCTGGTTCTCTACGTCTTCGTGCTCTCGCAGTTACCACACTACCTCAGTTAAGTCCAAAATTGGCATAGGAGGCACGAACGCATGATGAACATTTGTGTACGGCCACGACAAAGCTAACAAGAAAACCGTCTAGTTTACGTCATGAAACTTTCCTTCAGTCATATGAGTCACATACCCGTATAACATGATGGGCGGTGGTATTGGAACGGCGACCACAGACGTGGGCAATTTAAATGCGGGAGCATCAAAAAAAAAAAAAACGTAATCCCCCAATGATGCGACGAGTGCAAAGAATAAAAATACAGCGCACACACAATAACCAGCGCATTCACGTGCTGAAGAATGCTTAATGCTTTCCGGAAGAGCTTCTAATTCAAGTAGGCTAGTCGCCGATCACATTAGCAGTGTTCGCATTGTGTGACACGGGAAATTTACCAGAGAAAGTAATGAGCCTAGCCACACCATTTACTCGTTGGACCACCACCCACTTTCGGGGTGCTTCTTCCATATCATTCATAGTTATTGCTTTAGGCCCATGCTTAATATTAAATCACACTCAATGTTATGTACCTTGGGTGGTTCATACTTTGATGATACCAGACATTTTCTGCCAGTCAAAAGCTTTATCTAGCTTTTTTGGACAAAAGCATGGTTCAATTACAGGAACTTTTGTTCCTCTATTGTTCCTCTTCTGTTCCACAAAACTGCTCATTGAGCAGTTCCTGAAGGTCTTCAATGCGTGCCCCCATCTTCTGCATTTTTACTTTGCACCGGTCTAATTCTTCCTTCTTTTGTTCCAGTTCTAACTTGGCATGTTGCAAGTTCTGCATCTGATTGGCACGCATCTCAAGAACAACATTCAAGCTTTCCACTTGCTTCTGTAGGTCTGCATTTTTCTTAGAAAGCCACTGGATCTTGGCGTCTGTGTCTGAGAGTACGGACTCCTGGAACTCCCTGGCCTGTTGCTGCAATTGCTTGTATTGTTGTTGAAGGGCTTCGTACCTCTGCTGAAGTTCTTTTTGCCGTGCTTGGTGGTCCTCATTGATGGAGTCCGTTTGCAATGAATACTCCTCATTGATCGCATCAATGTTTTCTCTTTGCCTCTGTTTCATAGCGTCCAAGGTTTCATTACTGTTTTTGCGACTGTTATCGAGTGCATCCGCGTAAAAGGCCTTCATTTTTTCAAGCTTCCGTGTGTGAGCCTCCAAGTACCCAGTCAGTTCATTCTGGTGGGCTTCCTTCAACTCTTTCGTCCTCTTTTTGTGTGACGCTTCCAACTCTTTTCTTAATGAGTTTATTTTCTTTTCATGGCTCTGCTTGAGCTCCTCTATCTTGTTTTTGTACACCTCAATAGCAATGCGAGCCTTCTCAATCTCGTCTTGCGATTTCCACGATTCCTCAGACAGCTTTGGAATACGAAACGAGTTGTTCTGCAACACCTGCGCATGTAGGTGTTGGACGACAACAGCGAAAGAGGCGAATCCGGCCGAGGCATGCCTGAGCTGCAACTTGAGCATGGTGAGCTCCTTGGTTCTGGACTCGCACAGCGCACCCAGTCGCAGGATCTCCTTGGTGAATTCGGCTTTGATCTGGGCCTGGATTCGCGTCTCTCCGACCTTGCTGGGAGGACCTGTTCCGGGACTTTGGGAGTTCACCCTTGTCATTGCTCTTGCCGCACCTTTCTTTGCATCTTTCGTGGGTGGCCTTGTATTCCATGGCCATGGGTAGTCTGGCCGCCTTGGAGCGGGCTTGGTCTTGCGCTCCGAGAGGGCACACTTGACTCGAAAATCGACTTAACTCGAAAACATACTTGCGAGTGACCGTATAGCCCAAAATTTTATAAAACAAGAGTCCTTCGAGGAACCTTCCTAATATGCGCAACAAATACAGTCAATGATAAGCACACTACGAGAACTGTAACGATCCCGTGACGCGTGCTTTCATTCCCGCCTGGCACAAGCACCGCATTGCAAAAGCACCAAGCAGAATGATTGCGGTGTCAATACTATCACTATTGGCAAAGTGCAATGCAAGCATTGCACTTTGCCAATAGTGACAGTACTGGTGCTGATGTCTCGGATATCTTAATGGGAGAAAACCGCACAGTCGTCAACAAAGATGGTTTTGTTGGGCTGGAACCCCGAAGATGGCTTTTCAGTTCAGAACCAGCACATTTGGTGGGCTATTTCGTTGAAATGTTGAGCGCAGGACTTGACGATGGTGAATTGTTCATGGGCAGAGGGTCATGACATTCAGCAAGGACACAAACTTCACTTTCTGATCTCTGCATCTTGTTGCCAACCGCTTGTGCTGCTTGCTTGCTGGCTTGACCGGAAGTGTCTGGCCACGCACGGGTATGGTAGTCCCGCAAGTGCGCTTGATAAACTTGATAGCCTTCTTGAGGTCCGACATTATTATAGGAATGGTGCACCTGATGCTGCTGGTAAAATGATGCAGGTGGAGCATAGTGGTACCATAGCACGTAAGATGCACTTTGCACATGGTACTGGGTCCAATTTACCGCTGCACATTGGTCTTCCATTGTATCACAGCTGCGCACATATCCAAAACGCACCACCAGAGAACACGCAGCACCACCAGGTGAAAACCGACGAAAACATCCAGAGAATGAAGGAACTAATACGCGTTAGGCACGTTTTAACATCCAGTTCCAGAAGAGGACGAATAGGGTCTACGTGCGAATTTAATGGGTGTAACAGCATCTGCCACCTTCCAAGCCGTGTGCTGCCCGATCCCTTTCTTAATGTCGGGAGGAATGTAGTTTATCAGGTGCGGGGGAATTTGCACACGTGGCCGCCCAAACACGGGATCCAGTGCGTGGTTGTTGAGCGCGACGCGTCCTCCTGATGGATTCCGGAGCTCCCAGGGCTGCTGAAGAGAGTTCCGGGGTCCCTGTCCTCCTTGTTCTCTCAGCTTCTGCAAGCGTATATCCTTATGTCAAAAATAAAGTGACACGTGGTCATTGAGTACACTATGCGAAAGCGATAAGCATTTCTCTTCTTTCTCTTTCGACATTCTGCATGAGCACTGGTTTCACTTCTTTAGGGTTGCAGGAAACTATAAGGCTTTTTTTGTTCCTTAGTGTATAGATGCATTCTGTTTATGTAGAATGCTCCATGCCAATTCTTACCTCCATCTCGGCAATGCGAGTGGTGTCAAGGCTTGCTATCTCTCTTCTATGTGTTTCTGTAAGCCTATAAAATTACTCCAATGGAGTCAATTGCAAACACAAGGCACTAGTTCTCAGGTGATGCGACGTTAACGTTATCGCTACCACATCATATTTTTTATGGCGTGTACAGGTCTGTTTCACGACGGACTATATTGTGTGGCCACAACAGCCTCGCCTGGGCGAAGCCGACAGTAACTGGTCAGAAAAAATGAGTTCCCTCAAATACGTGCTGACAAAAGGCGCGCAAAAAGAACAAATTTAAGATGTCTACATTTTCGCTATTTTCGTATGTGTGTGATATACAAGACTAAATACTGAAAGATGTCGTACATGGTTAAGTGAGACGGTAATTGATGGAGAAAAACAATATATACGCAAGTAATGTGGGCATTATATAGGACGAAAGACTGAGCACACAGGGCACCCCTCCATATATTTTATACGTGTCTTTCTTTGCCGGGTTATCGTAGGAATCGATTCTGTTTTTATGCCTGTGCCTTAGAAAAAATGAACACATGGCTTTAATGCGCTCTCTAACGTCTCAGTATGTTTGTGAATCTCATTACTAGGTCTTCGTATCATGCATTTCGGTTTTGCTTCTCCATGCGCAGAAAATGACTGGCAGTTCTAGTAGCGCTTGTGTTATCTTTCTTGAGTTCTGCGTACCCTTCCTTATGTTTGCTCTGTTGCAGTGGTGTCATCTTTCAATAATCCCAAGACTTTCACACGCATCATTTGCAATGTACACACTGAATTAGTAAGGAGAGGTGCGCAATAGATAAGATGATAACTCAAGCATGAAAAGAGAGAAAGAAAATAGATAATGCAGATTGTTTCCAGCGTCCAGACTTCACGAGTCTTGATAAAAGTAAATCCGAATTTACTGCTCTGTCAGAACTTTTCTCTCACCTGTAATCTTTCACGGAACATCACTGTGTGCTAGTGTGAGTATAAGAGTGATTATTTTATTATTTTAATGCTTTTGCCCAAGCAGAATAACAAAGTTGCTCTCTGAGGTAAGTTCTTGTTTGTTTGTTTTAGTTGTCTTGAAAAAGCACAACTCCGCTAGCGATGCTTACGTCAGTGTTTATTCAACTTGTTGTTATCAATCGTAGTCCGTAAAGCTTTGTTTTATATGTTTTGTAATTTTAGATTCTAGCATTTGTCTGTCTTAGGTTAACCACGAAACTTGGAAAGCATGAAACAAACACAGGTTTTCACAATGCAAATCAAATCGCAGAAGGCATTTGCGATGTTGGTTTTACAAGGCATACCGGAACACTGTGGTCATTTCTGCGCCACCGTGACCCAGTCCATCACTTGAGCGAAATACACATGTGGAGCGCATGTGCATTTATATGTGGTTCGGCAGGTGAACGTGATCCGCTTCGTACGTCTGAAGGCGAGCTGCCGCTAAATATACGAATCTTTGGGGGACTCTTCAGCTACGCCTTTGGGGAGATGAATGCGATACCGATATCCAGTTCCTAAACTTCAAGCACTTAGTGCATGAAATCGGGGCGAACTTGGTATACAATTACTATACATGCCGTAAATAAATAGACGCAGTAACGTGTGTGCGTTATGAAGTGAGTGACCGGCTTTAACTATGAAGTCATAATTATAATCACGTGTTCTCCCGCCCGATGGCGATGTGCGCATGTTGTTAAATCTACCCTAATTCATGTTGTATTGTGAAGCATGCCTGAAGGATGCGTGCATTTGTGAAGCATGAATGTTCCTTTCAGTTCATTGTACATTTCTAAGCAGAGCAAGTAATTTTTCTCTGCATTCACACACACAAGCGTTGCTGCGCGGTGGAACACTAGCTTTCCACGTGAACAACCCGTGTTCGAGCCACACTGAGAAGTAGACACATTCAGCTTTTATTTCATTTGCATCTCTAAAAAAGTTTTCTATCACCTACAAGATGACTCTTTACTCTTAAGCAATGACGCCGATGCTTGAATTTCTGCGGAACGGGCTATTTAACACTATGGCGCAAAAAATTTGCGCACAAGAGGGGCGCACACGGTGCGTACAGTGTTTGGCTCTACGATTCTTAGCAGTACCGCAGGTTTTAGGTTTGCATTCATTTGCTCCAGCTAGCCTAACCGCCATCTATACTCATTTGCTTGTGTGATACTCCACACCTCCCTTTATTTCTTTCCTGATAAGTATTAGCGGCCTTCACCGCAATTGCCATGCGTTGTCCCTTCTACAGACCTTCTATAAAGACACCACTTATAATTGCTTGTCGCACGCAAAAGGCTATTAGGGAGTGGGCATGTAAGTGCAATGCTGTTGCAAAAGCTTGTAGAAATACCTCTATTTTCTTGACGTTCAAGACGGCGAAGCAGCTGGTGTAGTCCTTTACGGCATGCTGGCTCGGATTCTGGAACTAGGCGGCTGTTCGTGCGTGGATCGTCAGGTTTGTAACGACCCACTGGAAGGTATGAAGTACCACATCACCTACACTGTCGCAGCGCCGTTGGGCCGAGTTGCCGAACACATGCTGGAGGTGTTGAAGCACGGGTCCCCGTGCTCGGGGTGGACGAAGTCCAAAGGTACAGTGTAATTCCTGTGAACAGCTGCGGCAAAAAACGATTATATATATTCTCTCCTAGACTGCTTCGTTAATAAACTTTAGCCGACTGCAGCGTCATTGCCCGTTAATTACTTCAGCTGAGCTGAAATTGCGTTGCCAAGATTATTATGAAAAAAAAAAACGCGTGGAAGCTGCACCTCACTGAGCCTATTATCCATTCAACATCCTCTAGCTCCTCGAATAGTACAGCTGACTTCCCTCCCTAGATAAGGTTCTAGCGTTAAATGTTGCCAAGGTCAGGGTTCCAATGGCGGCCTTCTCCGGATCCAGAGAGTCTTAGCACCCTCTGCTGGCGTTGCAGATCTGACTGCCGCCGTGGTCAGTTGCTTCGCAGCTGCTGGGGACTGAGGGCCGTGAGTTATTTGACATATGCATGTGGGAGGTAGTGGCTAGATACTGCAACAGGGTGGCCAATCCTTCTCTGGTGAGGGAGTGCGTTCCCGGCGGTGGTTACCAGTGAGGCCGCACCCCAGGCCTCTTAATAGAGTTCCATCAACACACGGATTTTTTTTAAATCCGTTCGGGAACTGCGCGGCACCGGGATTTGAACCACGGACCTCTTGCATGCGAGGCGGGCTCTAACCACTACGCCATGGCCTCACCCGGATCGCTATGTTTTAAATGTAGGTTTCAGCGGTGTATCAGTCAAGTTTTTGATTATTTTTATAAAAAATTTTGAAGAAATGAGATTTCTGCTGAATACCCCCTTAATTTAGGGCCTAGAGAGTACGGAGTTGGGCCTCCGATTAGCCTATGGGGTGCTGTTTATAAATATAATAAGCGGACAAAATTTAAATTCGTTTGTGAGGTAATGTCAACAAATTAACCTTTTTAGTGATTAGGCTAATTTTGGTCACGAAATA